ACACATTAACATAAAATCTCTTAACTTTCTACCCAAATCTATTTTTTACTTACATTGGGCCTAGAACAGCTTATCACAACCATAAATAAACCTCAAGAGCCTCTCCGTAGGAGGCTAGAATACCATCATTTTTTTAAAAGAGTAATTTTGAAGTATACTACACAACTAGATGTTTTTAAATACATTATCATAATATTAACATAATAAGCAATGAAAGAAAATTATCCATTGTTTGCTAACAGTTATGCAAAAGAGATGCTGAGGAGTAGAAAATAAGACATGCCTACAATTAAAAAAAAAGATATTTCGGTCTTCATTCAAAACTCTATTTTCATCACCCTGTATGAATAAATAATAATTAACAAAATTAAACTTAAATATTCTGAATGCATATGCAGGTGGTACCTAAAATCTTTTAGTGAATGAATGAATGAATGGGCCTGACCAAAACCTCTGGGCTTCACCTCAATTTTACACACACACACACACACACACACACACACACACACACACACCCCACATACAATGCTCCCAGCAGATCAAGGGAGTCTTAAGTAGCTGACAAAATACTAACAAAGGAACACATGTAAATACATGCCATGGCCCCTCCCGTGGGATATCAACCCCTGTGCGTGTGTGTGTGTGTGTGTGTGTGTGTGTGTGTGTGTGTGTGTGTGTGAGAGAGAGAGAGAGAGAGAGAGAGAGAGAGAGAGAGCAGCCAGCCACCAAGAAGAACTGTTTGCCTAGCCTTTTTTCACCCAGTATTTCTAAAATAAGTTTACCTCTGAAATCTCATTAACTCTTTGCATCAACACTTTTGGTGCTGTGCTGTGGCAGGGCAGCTGGAAGGTCCTCCTTAGCACTGAATGCAGGAAGGAGAGGTGCACTTCCGGCCCCCACAGCTTCCCTCCCCTGTGAGGTTAAGAGCTACAATCGGTGTGCGTTGGATATACCAATCTATTTCTACAGCTCGACAGCTTCTGAGGGGTTGGCTTTTTGAGGTCCTTTTCCCTTTCTGAGTCAGGGTACAACCTCAGGCCCACTGAGGCAAAAGAGAGCTTGTCACCCTCTTACTCTAGGGTTGGTTCCTTGTCTCTCACAGGTGTGACCCTGGCTGACCAAAGACAGGCCCTTCCTCCACCACATATCTGCAGGCCACATGAAAAAGACTAAGGTGTATCCGAGGGCTCCAGCCTGCTACCTGGGTAGAGACATTACACCCACACCTGAAAACATGGAGGGGTGGGAACTTTTTAATGCAGACTTATTCCGCCACAAACTGCCTCCACGCCCACCCCCACGCTTAAAAACACCTAACTCCCTGGAAGTATAACAATTAAGGTTTTTCGGAATTGAGAGAGAGAGAGAGAGAGAGAGAGAGAGAGAGAGAGAGAGAGGAGCCGAGCGGCTGCTTCTCTGCCCTGGCTTTATTGCACAGTTCAAAGGCAGGCTTTTCGGAGGTCATTAACCAGCATTGTCTCTGTGACATGATTAGTCAGGTAGCAAAGTCCATTTGTCACCTGCACCCGCAAATTGAGTTAATACTCCACTACAGGCTATGGGGACTGTATAATATCAACGTGATTACATCAAGCGGGCCGCAAACTTGACAGCTCACTGAATTTGTCGGCATTAATCGTTACGCCTGTCACAAATCCATCAGGTTTACAGATAATTAGGGGCCTGTTAATGAAGCAGGCTAAACAACCTTACCTTTTTTGATAATTAAGAAGCCGCTTCATTACGAAAGGACCATTTCCTCTGAGCAGTATTTCTGTATTTTTTTTTATATAGGGAGGACTCATTTAGATAATTTTCCCTTCCTCTCCCATCACTATGAAGTATTGCAATTCTGCATCTGTCATCCACCAACTTCCTGGCTACCAAACAATCAATTATTTGACACTAAGATATTCTCAAGAAAAACTCATCAGTTACGGATGGAACGGTGAGGCAGGACAACTCACAGCTCAAAGAAGGAAAGAGCCAGCCAGGATGTGATAATAAAAACTCTTCATTAAAAAAAAAAGAAATAGCTGCATTCACACGTACACAACCGCCATGTCCCCTTTTCAGAAAGGAACAAGTCCTATTCGCTGCCTACCTAGCCTGGCTTCTCCAGGAGGAGGCCACACTGGCTCCCGCCTCAGAGGATAAACATGGAGGGCTCCTTATTAAAGGCCTGAGACTAAGGAAATCAAGGGTTTTCTCACCTAGCCTATCATAAATATACCGAGTCCTCATGCCAACGTAAATATTAGTGAAAACAAGCAAGTGTGAACCCTGTGCGCTAATGGAAAGGATTCCAGATGAAAGCAAACAGCCTTATTTTGCTAAGAGGCCACCTTAATGCTTTTTCTAAGTAAGAGGAAGAGCTAAACAATGGCTCATTTAATGAACACAAGCGTCCCACAGGTTCAAAATCAGAGCAGAGATAATAAACCCTGTAATTAAACTTACACTGAACCTTTTAGGATGGAATCTATTTTTGAGATCTTGC